ACATGTGAGAAAGAAATAAAAATAGCACATGTGTCCTATTTTTTCAGAGTCAATTTATTCTATAGGGAACTTTTGACATTTTTTTGGCTCTGCTCAAGAAATTTGAAAAACTCATAGGATGCAATGAAGCTCGAACGGTTTGGATTTCATCTTGAATTTTGATTTTCTCCTTGTGTTCTCCACATACTAAATGGACTAATACTGGAGATTCATTTGTCATATTTCCCGTTTCAGATCGATTCTCGTAAGTTGAAGAGAGTTTCATATGCAATTGCTTGTAGAAGATTTACTGATACTCACTCCCACGATCGCATTGCTGATCTCTTGAATGATATTCATTCCGAGTTCGGAATCGAATCCCCGGGATTGATAACCACAATAACTGACAATGGCTCGAATTTTATTAAAGCATTCAAGGAATTCGGAGTTGGACTTGATGAGGCCCTCTTCTATGAAGGTTTGTTGAGCACTCCTTTAACTGAAAGCCGCAGACTTTTCCTCGTAAATACTTCTACCACAATGAAATAAATCGACCTAGGAATGCTGGATCTTGTGAGGATTGTTTTGTGCGTGTACGATTAATGTTTAATCTTACAGATTATGACGACACACGAGAAGAAGTGGAAGGAATAACTGATCGCGAAATTGCTGAGGTCATGGCTTTGACAGAATTCTCTTCGAGGTTGTTACTAGCCCATCAAAGGTGTGCTTGTCATCTGTTTCATTTGCTCGCCACTGCGGACGTTTTGAAGGGCATTAATTCTTTCGCGGGACTGAAATTGATGTTTAATCAAGTCATGGGGAAGTGCACGCAATTGTGGAATTTGACAAGATCACCGAAGAGTTATGAGATGATCATCAAGTGTCTAGAAAAAGCGTTGAAACGCCCGGTAGTAACGAGGTGGAATTCTCTCTTTAATTGCTTCGAACAAATAATTGAATTAAGAGAGAAACTCGTTGAGCTCTTTGCTGAACTGAAGAGGAATTATTTGCTCACAGCAAGTGATTTTAAGTAAGAAAAGATTTGAGTCATATGACAAGAGTGAAAATATACTGTTAAAAAATGTTGTCTGAATTTTCCGGCAAAGTTTCCAGAAATTTTCTTCTTATCCAAGTTCCACTGGATTTTCGAGGAATTTTGACATTGAAAATTCAGTATTTCCTGAAAAAATCAATGAGAACTATAAATTTTTGTTCCATTCTTCCCTGAAAATTAATAGAAAACCAGAAGATTGCTGTAAGTATATACTTGAATTTTCGAGGCAATGACACGGAATTTGATTTGAGGGAAAAAAGATCATGAAATTTCAGATTTCATTGAAAATTCAGTGCAATCCATATGAATATGAATATTCATATTTCATTGAAAATTCAGTGCATTGAGGAATTCTCATCGTCGTGCTGCCTAAAATTGTCGAATTTTGCTGAATTTTCAGTGAAAACTGAAATTTAATGATTTTTATTCGCTCAAATGGAATTCAATGTCTTTGCCCTGAAAATTAGTAGTCAACTGTTAATGAAATTTCATTTTCTTCTAACAGTGTATATTCACAAGCAGTATTTGAATTTCCCATGAGACGGATCTCAGTTCTAACATTTTCATTTCCACAGATTTATCGAGGAATATGTGAAATGCATGACACCAATCGCATCACTCTACAAACTCTGCAGGGTGACATAGAAGTTAGCTATGGATATCTCCTCCCCACACTAATTTCTAATAACAACAAGTTAAAAAAATTGCTCAATGAAGATTTGACTTACTGTGAACTATTAGTCACTGTCTTGTCGACGAGCTTGAAAAAAAGGTAATTGTGTTGGTATTTTTATTTCATTTAATTAGTGATACTGTGAGAGACGCGAGAAACGAGACGAGACAAGACAGTGTCTCGTGATGGAAATGTGTAGACGAGAGAACGAGAGAAACAAGACGAGAGACGCTAGAGAGCACAGAAAAAAAACCGTTGAGAACACCGTTGAGAAAAAAGTTTGGTGATTTCAGAAATTTGAAGACATTTTGGGGGGGAGATTTTTCAATTTTTAAAAATTGGGAATTCTGAGACGAGATAAGCGAGTCGAGACAAGACGAGACGAGAGACGGCAGCGAATCTTCGACTCTCGACAAGACGAGAGAAGAAATATCTCTCGTATGTCGAGACGAGACGAGACGAGACGAGAGAACGAGTTACTATCAACGAGACGAGACGAAAAAATTGCCATTTCTCGTCTTGTCTCGTCTCGCCTCGCGGCATTACTACATTTAATGCCAAATTTCAGAGATTGCCGAGCTTGTGATAATCTTATGCTTTTCGATACAGATTTCATAATTACTTTAACGTTGTCGACGAAGGGGAGGCCGCGGCTGAAGCAGCAGCTACCCAAGGTTCAAGTTGCTATGGCTTTCATGTTTGGATACAAGTGCTCAAAAAAATGTTAGGAATGCCATCACGAATGCCATTACTTCCTGCCATAAGCCCTCAGAAGTTATTCAGAACAATGAAAAGGAACAACATGATGGCTTCGATTCCGATGCTAGAGAGCAGAATAAGGACGTTGTGCAAAATAATTTGGAAATAGGTGCTGTTGAGACTGATTTCAGGAGATTTTGCAAAGAACCCAAAAAAGATCTGGCCCTGTTACATGCGTACCCTGCAGTCAAAGCTATATATCTGAAATTCAACACCTTATTGCCATCATCAGCTTCAGTGGAAAGGCTATTCAGTTTTGCAGGAATGTTTGACATTGCAAAATTCAATCGTCTGACAGATTCGAATTTTGAGAAAAGAGTATTGTGTAAAGCGAATCGAGTGATGGAAACCGAGTAATGAAAACCCACGTATGGGAAAATTGAATAGAAGAACGCAACGAATTTGATAGAAAATTCTTTTGGATTTCTATTGAACTTTCTCTGAGTTTTCAGCATTTTCCAATGAAATGTTCAATGGAAAATATTCTATAGAAAAAGTGAAGAGGATTCAATCTTTCTATAAAAGTTATTCTGTTGAGATATTTTCTAGAGAATTTCTTCGACTTGAATTACATTTTTTTTTTCATCCTCTTTTCCTTTTCTTTCAATTTAAAAATCGAACAGAAAAACTTAGGAAATTTGGGCTGAGGAAATTCTATAGATAAATAAAATTTCATTGATTTCTCCTGTAGAATATTTTCTATTGAAGTGTGTGCCTTCATGGAAAAAATTTGCAAATTCACTAGAAAATTTGATTGGACTTCTATTGCACTTTCTATCAGCTTTTGGCCGATACCATCAACAAATTCTATGCTCGTTTTTTTCAAATAATAGAAATGTTCGTTGTTCGTTTGTTTTGTTGTGTTGTTGTTAGTTCTATACAACTCATTCGTTAGCTAGAATTGTCGTTAGCTACAGTTCGCCCATGTTGACTAAGGAGAATTGATGATTGAATTGTTGTTTAAAATTGTGACTTGATAACTGTTGTATTTTGTAAGATTTTTTAATGACATTTTTCACGATTGACGGATGTTGACGATTGTCATAATTGAACTGACATCTCAGAATACACTTCCATCATTACGCTTATTCGTTCCTTTTTTCCTCTAATGTGGGTGTTATTGAGACATATCCACGGCGATTGATTGAAAATTAATCCATTGATTAATTTTTCAAATTGAATTTTTTTAAAGAAAATTGGGTTTTCCACGGTAATTAAATAAAATGTTCCAAATTCATTGAATAATAGGTTGAAAAATCGTTTGAATGTGCTCTTGTCCGATTTCGAACAATGAGTTTCAATAATGAGTTCGAACAATGGATTACATACGAGAGGACAGAATCATGTGCAGAATGATCTTTCAAAGAATAATTTACTAGCAAAAATAAATACCATATACGGACGGAAGCAATTCACCACTTGCTTACAATGAAAATCGATTTTTCATCATTAATTCGTTTCATAACATTAATGGAGAATATTCATCAATTGATACAGTTTGATTAAATAATCGCCCCCTCGATTTGCTGATTTTTGCTTACCAAAATAATCGATCGAAAATCTATTTCGAGTGCCGAATACCTACATTATTCAATGTTCTTCTTCTGCTCAAATACTGATTACTTAAGTAATCAAGAATTTGACTACTCTGAATACTTGTTGTTCAAATCTCCTAAAAAATCCACACTCATGAATATTGATTGCTCAAGTAATCGAGAACGATGCGAATTTGGTTGATAATTTATGGAATAATCAAACGATTCACAGCTTGGATTATCTATTATGAGAATAATTATGAATTTTCCATTTAATACGCTTGATTAATTGAGTAATCGAGAATATTTCAATTTGACTTACTCATTAGCCGAATAGTCAACCATTCCGCACTGCAATTACAAATCACTCAAGTAATCAAAAAAGTGGTGGACTTGATTATGCATTGCCTGTGTAATTAGAAATTATTCTCCCCGAATTACTGATTATCAAATCATTCATTATGAAATGAGAGGCGGTTTTTTGGATACAAAAATAATCAGTAACCAGAGTCGTAATATTACAAAAAGTAATCATTACTGGGGATCCCTGACTCAGAGACTGGATACATCCTGGAGGTTGACCTGGAGTACCCACGG